AAAAAAAAAAAAAAAAAAAAAAAAAAAAAAAAAAAAAAAAAGATTATTATTTGCACCTTTACTTTCATCCCCTTCTTACTGGTGGGTTTCCTCATATCTTCTCTTTTGCTTGTTTGACTTTCTGGCATTAATTCAAATTCCTGATAAATTACCCACCACAGATTTAAGTGGTTTTCTTCATTTGCTGAAAGTGTTTTCGCGTTGTGTTCTGTGTAAGTTGGTAACTGGGACACAGAGATGTGCAGGGCAGGCTAATTTCACTGGTGGAAAAGGTGTCAAAGTTGAGACTGAGAAATGAGGCCTTCTGTGCCAGGGGGTGCAGTGTGGTCCTCACGTGCGTGCATGCTGCTGGCTCCAAAAGCAGGTGCAGGCACATCAGCAAAAGTTCCCCTCCAGCCAAGCTGTGCCCTGGACGTGTGGCCAGGAGCCACTCCTGGGACCTAGCATGAGGCTCTTATTTGCTGCATGGACACCCACGAGATTTGAGTTCCAGCCTGTCAAGGTTTTTGGTAATAACTGCCTGACCCATATCTTCCAGATAATCGTTATGTACCTTCAGGTGTTAGAGTGTGAGCGTAACCAACACCTGGTCCAGACCTCATGGTGAGTTGATCTTCCTTGTTTTACGAGACCAGCAAGGGTTGATTTGAGGCACTTGGGCAGTGGGTAGTCGGTCCCATGACTTAGTTGTGGGCTGGAGTTGTCCGAGTGCCTAGTGTTCCTGCTGTGTAAATTCCAGTCAGCCTCCCAAAATGTCAGGCACTGGTGTAACGGTAGGTGGCCCATACCCTCCCCTGACTCTGGATTTCCTATGTCCCCCACTGTGGAGGATAGCAGTCAGCAGATGTCCGTCTGGGGGCTGTTCCCTGTGGGAGCACAGTAGGATCTTGTCCCAGGGAAATCAGAGGTGACAGGTGCTAATGTAGATTTAGTGGTCTTATATCTCCTGTGAAATTGGCATCCTGTGGGAGAAGGCGGGGGATGAGGCTTTGCTACAGTTCTGAGACTGATTTTAACACTGCATAAGCTAGAAATGAAATCTGAAGTAACTAGCATTTGGGGTGTTTTGGTGAATTTTTTCCCAGGGAGTTTAGTATGTAGGGGTCATATTTTTGCTGACTGAATTGTCTGGTGCTATGACGTGTTTAATAGAGAACCTATTTTGACTTTTCTTTTCTGTACTCTTTCAATCAAAGGGTAGCCTCTGAGGGTAAGTGACTAAGACTTCTCCTCTGCTGTCCAAGCGCTTTGGTGCAGGGACAGCGGCCGTCTTCAGCCAATCCAGTGCAGGCTCTCCACCGAAGGCTGGCTCTAGACTGGTGGTACGCGCGCACGATAGCATAGTCATGGCCACCTGCTGCTCGTGGTTCTGACGGTTGTGCTTCTTGTTAACCCTGTCGTGCTCTGGTAATTGTATTGATTAGAGCTGATAACTGTCTTGATTTGAACCTTGTCCCTTTAAAACTGCTGTACCTGTACAGTAAAGATGCAGTACCTTCCTACTTTTAAAAAATTCTATGGAAAGCTGTAAGAATTGAAGTGATAAATTGGCTGATGGGAATTCAGACTGTCAGTGTGGGAGCGTGTCATTATTTCTAGAAGTCCTAAAGTTGCTCTCTTCAGCAGCTAAGCTTGACTCATTTCAGTAAAAGGGATGCATCTTTACATTATTCCTTGGATACTTGTTAAGATATTGTAACTTATTTAAAATATAATAATAAGTTTAATTATATGTTTTGAGAATTTCATTTGTTTTTAGAACTTAAAAATGGATGGATTAATATTATTATACTATTGTATACTGAACATTTCTTATTAAAAAAAAGAAAGTTACTGATGGTTAAGTTTATCAGGGTCTGAGCTGTTCACTTGCAAAGTGTTCCTGGGACGCATGGGCTTCCCTCTTTAATGCCTGCAGCAAGAGCTACCAGAGCCAGCTGCCTCTAGCAGGCCTCTGTAGAGTTTATCATTCAGAAATCTGAGTGGGTTTGTATGGTACCTTCTCCTGAGTTTATTTACAGCAGAGATGTGAGGGGGAGGGTTCAGTCACATGACAGCAGGGTTACTTCCCCTAAGGGTGCAGCCCAACTCTGAGGTGTCCCATCATGGGGTATGTTAGGAGCAGAAATGTTTGACCTCCTCATCTGTTTTCTCATGGAATTAATCCTTTGTTTTTACAATATAAAGCTGGTGTGAGGTTTGATTTTAGTCTAAGTCTTAAATATATCTAAAGGAAAAATGTTAAAAATGTAGCTAGTTTTAAAACCCTTTAACTTTAAAAAAAAAATGCAAATTTTTGTATTTTTATATTGTCCAAAGTATGATGAAAGTTTTTTGTAATGTATTGATTGTGATGAAACTTTGAGTGTTCTGTTGCTTTTGTCTGATTTTATGAATGTTCGTTTTAAGACTCCTTGTTGAAATGGGACAGTTTGGAAACGGTTCTTTGATAAGCCTGAGAAGAGGACTTCACTTTGGTCAGTGAGCCTTCCTCTGCATGATGTCCTATGCACCTGAATTGCACCCGGGGGCGTTTTTCCCTTTTCCAAGTGGACACCCTCGTGGAAGCTGCGGCTCAGTCATCCAGAGAAGGGCCAGGCGTGAGCGCTCTTCAAGGAAGAGGGACGCCAAGGGACGGCTGTCTCCACAGCCTGGCAGGCTCCGAGCTCAGCAGTTCATTTGCGTGTGCATGTTCCTCTGCACTGTGGATTTTGAACGTTCAGATTCTCTAATCAAGTGCACCTAGCCACTGCAGCAGATGTTTCCTTTTGAGGCTTTGTGCTCGCACTAGAGCAGGCCAGATGCGGGGAAGGAAAGTTAAAGTCGGTTCTCTTAACGGCCACGTGCGCCGTCTGACATTCAGCGGCCTTTTTTTTTCCTTAGTAATTTCTCTGTCTTCCTCTCCTGTACTCAGTGAAAGGAGCTAGAATATTCCTGCTTTAACTCAGATTCACAGGACTGTCTAGCTCTAAGTCTAGCAGTAAACTCCTTAGAGGGTTAGCAGCGTCAGGTAGTGCAGACAGATGTCCTGGACGGCCGGGGCTGCAACTCTCCCTGCCTTTGGTTTTCAGGAACTACATGAATGACAGCCTCCGCACTGACGTCTTCGTGCGGTTCCAGCCTGAGAGCATTGCCTGCGCCTGCATCTATCTCGCTGCCCGCACGCTGGAGGTCAGTGTGTTGCTGTGGCGGGGAGATTTAAGTCTGGTTCTTTCTCCAGCTTCCACCGAGGGAGGGACTTTAGTGTATTCTTCAAATTACGCTCATTTGTGCCAAACCTTGGTGACCAGCAGGCTTTTTTTATTGCCCCGGGAGTCTTGCTGGCCATGAAGAAAAGTGTAACAGTGATGACGTCTGTGTTTACAGATCCCTTTGCCCAATCGTCCGCACTGGTTTCTTTTGTTTGGAGCAACTGAAGAAGAAATTCAAGAAATCTGCTTAAAAATCCTGCAGCTTTATACTCGGAAGAAGGTTCTTTTATGTTTTTTTGTGTAGCATGTGCCCTTGTGCCTGGTCAGAAGCGTCTGGTTCTGAGAAGATTGGTGTGGCTTTTGCAGGTTGACTTGACGCACTTGGAGAGTGAGGTGGAAAAGAGAAAGCTCGCCATGGAGGCGGCGAAGGCGCAGGCGCGGGGCCTGCCGCCAGGGGGCGCGCAAGTGCTGGACGGCCCCGCGGGCTTCTCGCCGGCCTCCAAGCTGGGTGAGTGTCGGGGCGCAGGCGCGTCCTCCCTGCAGGGTCCCCGCAGGGCGGTGGTCCTCCTGAGCCTTCGGCTTGCAGCTGCGCTACTTCCTTCCAGGTTCTTCTTGAAACGGTGTCATTTGATGGAATTTCATAACCTGGGCCGTTGGATTGTCTTGTCAGACCCTAGAGTTAAGCGTGGTGCCCGTCACCTGCTCCCTGAAAAAAGGTGGACTAGACGGGGGGGCCCCGTCTTATGCGTGTTTAGATTCTGAGTCCCAGGCTGGGAGCAGGAAGGCACCATGGCACTTGTCTCCGTCGGCCCTGTAGAGACCTTCTCCTGCTCTGATGACTTGTTTCTGATGTTGGTTTTTAACTTCTTATGCTCAATCCTAGTAGAGTCCCCCAAAGATGGGAAAGGAAACAAGCTTTCCCCGCTGTCCGGGAAGAATGCCCAGAGGACAATGGAGGGTGTGAGGAAAGCTGAGGCAGACGGCCCTGTGAACGGCTTGTCCAAGGCAGCAGGGAGTCAGAGCCGGAGCAGGAGCCGTGAGCAGAGCTGCTCGAGGTCCCCGTCGCGGTCCGCTTCTCCTAAGAGGAGGTGTGTGCCTCAGGCTCACCTGCGGGGGCTCAGGCCTTTGGCAGGAGATGGTGTGGCCCTGGACAGTCGTTTGTACCCTGAGGTGGCTTCTTATTTTTCTAAACCCAGAGCTCACATCTCTAAGAGCCGCTCTGGGTGTGTGTTGGTGCCTGGTTGGGATGGGCAGTCACACGTGGCGGTGCTGTCCTTTCTCACAGGAAGAGTGACAGTGGCTCAACGTCTGGCGGGTCCAAGTCGCAGAGCCGCTCTCGGAGCCGGAGTGACTCCCCACCGAGACAGCCGCATCGAGGCGCTCCCTACAAAGGCTCCGAGGGGAGGGGCTCTCGGAAGTCCAAGGACTGCAAGTACCCCACCCAGAGGCCACACAGGTCTCGGAGCCAGAGCTCCTCCCGGTCTAGAAGCCAGTCACGGGAGCGGGTGGATAATTCTGGAAAATACAAGAAGAAAAGTCATTACTACAGAGATCAGCGACGGGAGCGTTCGCGGTCATACGAGCGCACTGGCCATCGCTATGAGCGGGACCACCCTGGGCACAGTAGGCATCGGAGGTGAGGTGGGGCCCCGAGTGACTGGCTGGCCTCAGACTCCTTCTCAGAGGGTCTCTGGGGGGCTGCCCTGCAACCCTCCTATCTTGCACACCTTGGTGTGAGTGGCCCTGTGGCACAATTTTTTGGAAATGTTTTTTGACTCTGAACCTTGAGATGAATTTGGAAATGGAACTGAGGAGATGGCAGGTGCCCCTCAGGCTGGCCTGGGGCTCAGGGCGCTCCTGTCCCAGTGCAGGGCACCCCCAGCAGCAGCCTGCGGGCAGCTCAGTGGAACAGCAGGTGTGCGTGTCCCTGCTGGCTGGCGTGGTGCTATGGACAGCTGTCTCTTCGCTCCCGTCCCCAAGCTCGATTATGTCAAGCCAAGAGAGATGAGTGTTAGACCTCCGCCTACATTAGGTCGTACTTGTGCATATCTCGCAGTGTCTCACGATGAGGAAATGGCCTTAACAGCCCCTTATTCTCTATCCACGGTGTAAATAAACACGTGTTTAATGCAAGTTAAAGCTACATATGAAAACTCAGAACTTGAATTCTGTCAGCTTAAAACTTGTTTAGAGAATTCTGATTTTTAAAATGTGAAGGTATTTAGATCTGTGTTGAAAGTCGTCTATTTTTATCTGTGCAATGCTGAGTGCAGGCCACCAGCTCCCAAATAGAAAAGTTTCCTATACATGCAATTTGTGTGCTTGAATAAACATGGTTCTCTCTGCTCAGGACATTGGGAACGTTAAGGCATTTGTAGGCTGTTGCTCTGCTTGCTTGTGAACCATGTGGGCGTGTGCACAGCCAGGGGCACATGGGGCTGCCTCCTGCCCCTGCTCCCCTTACAGCCTTAGACTTTTATTGAGCTTCCAGGCACCCCTGGTTTTCTGCCAAGGCTCATGAGGGAAAGGCTGCTTCCTGAGGGGCCACAGGAGGGGCGGTTCGGAAGCAAGGAAATGACTGCTGAAGTGCCCTTGTGCCTGTGGGGCATTGGTCTGTAACCCACAGCATTCGGGGGTTGGGCATGGGGGCAGCAGGGCCCCTGAAGGGTCACGGCTGGGAGCTGGGCCCTCCCTGCATGTGGTGGGTGGTGGACGGGTAGGTGAGCAGGTGAGAAGGGCCGGCATGGGGGCTGTTCCCTGGTTCTGGGATGGACGTTGCTGGGTCTCATGTGGGCCTGTCATACGGCTGCTGTTGGCTCTCCTGTTGGTGGTCACCTCCCCAGACCGGTGCCTCTAATCAGTGCCTGGGTCCAAGGGCGGCAGGCTCTGGTTGAGGCACTGTTGACAGAGACAGCCCTTGGGGGGTGTCTGGGAGGAAGTGCAGGTGGGGACACCCTTCTCTGCCTGGCAGACAGCAGTGGCTCCACAGTGGCCAGTGGGCATGTGACCACTCACAGCTCCCACTCCATCAGCCCCCGCAAGTTCCTGACCCCCAAGCTGCGTGCTACCCCCTCAGGGAGCACATCAGACGTCAGAGACAGCTGCAGCCATGTCAAGAGGCAGCATCCCCAGCTGCTGCCTGAAGACTCCCCCAACCTGGCAGCAGGGTCCCAGGTGTTTCCCCAACTGAGGAACTCCAGTGGCCCCGGGAGGCAGCCTCACCTGCCCAGACACCCTCCCTGGCCCCCCTGGCCTTTTTCAGTTCCTATGTGGCCTTGCTTGTCCCCAGGGTCTGTGATCAGCATCCAGGGTCCAGGGTCAGGAGAAGGGCTCAGCCGCCCTGCACACAGGGGCCTGCAGGGCTGAGGTGGCTGGGGTGGGGGCGGCACTGGCTGTCCCTGGCAGACTTGGGCCTAATTGGCTCAAGCTTCCTCCTTTCCAGGAACGAGGCCTGGTTCCCCTCAGGTAAGGGGCTGCGTGATGGATTGCAGTACTGCTTGGCATCAAGCCTGTGTCTTTCTTTTCATGGCCATTCCAGCCCCAGGGAAGCAAGGCCTGATGCTGCCCAGCCCCTGTGGGCCCCTACCCACCTGCCTGTGCCCACCGAGCTGCTCCCCACCCTGCTGCTTCTGACCTCCCTCTCCTGGGTTTCCCCAGCTACTCCTTGAGGTGAGAGTGGCAGTTTCTTTGTTGTAGCCTCTCCTGCTGCTGGGGCAGTGGGTATTTAAGGACAGGGACCCCTGGCCTGAACTCCTGTCCCTGAGGGTGAGGAAGAGTGTCCTGCATGTTGGAAGGCAGTGGGAGTGGGGCCAGACCTGGGGTGTTCTGAGCGCAGCATGTGTGGTCTGACAGATGACCCCATTTGGTGCTGGGGCCTTCCCACTAGCCTGTCTGCACCATTCACCACGTGTCTGCCTGGCTTCTGGTGCCTCAGTGGTGGGCTGGAGGCCGCTGGAGTCCCTGGCCCACCTCAGCAGGCCTTTCTCCAAAAGCGCAGTGTGTAAGTGGGGAAGGGGCCTCCTTAAATGGCAGGAAGAAGCAGCCGACTTGGGGCCTGGCAAGCTCGCTGGGCTGTCAGGCCTGTGCCAGGGGCCCAACTCTCTTAGAGGTTGGAGGCACCAAGGTTCCATCCAGACCTGGAGTCACCTTGAGGTCATCACGTCGATGAAGTATCCAAGCATGAGTCTGCAGACGCACTGAGACAGTGCTTCTGGCCCTGGGGCTGCAGACTTGGCCCAAGAACCTGATACAACAGGTGTGATGAGCTTCCGCCTGGAACAGAGGCCAACAAGAACCACTCTGGACCAGGCAGACCAAAGGTGGGAGGACACGGCAGGCTGGGTGGTTGTGTGCCCAGTTCCCTGGCCAGAGTGTGCATCAGGTAGCCTGGGAGGGTCAGCGGGTGCTTGTGGTCCACGATGTGGTGGAACCACTGGAGAGGCAGAGGAGTGGGGATGCTGGGCCTGCCCCGAAAGCCTAAGCTTGCGCTAAGGACTGGATGAGATTCCTCCCGCTTGGGGTATCCTTGAGTTTTGGGACCTGGAGCCTGAGTCCAGCACCCCGAAGGTGCTCCTTGGTGCTCGGTCCTCACCACCCACCGTGGCCTCCCTCCTGAGGGCTCAGGTCCTGGGCATGGGGCAGGCTTTGGCGTGACCTGGCCTGATTTGGGTGCAGGCAGCATGAGTGGAGCACGGAGGGGGTCTCCGTAGCCCCATCCTCACCTCAGGGCCCTCTGCAGAGTCTTACCTGTTCTCAGCAAGGACAGGGCCAGGGCCCACAGCCCCTCCTGCAGACCCCCAATCCTGTCTTCCCAGGAGAGGCACAGCTCTGGAGGGGTGCCTGCACCGGGTTCCTTGTACATTGCCCCCAAGCACCGTCAACAGCCACACAGCAGCCACATGGAGTGGGTGAATTGGGTATGGGAGGGGCTGGGGGAGAGCATGGGGTGCACTCACGAGCTCCGTGGCTGATCAGCCCGGGGCCTGGTGCAGGTTCCCCACCCCCACTTGGGGTAGGTGGGGCAGCTCAGCTGTGCTGGCATCCTGGCCGTGGCCTGGCTGCAGAGAGTGATGGCCCAGGACATGCTGACCATTAACGAGACCAACACCGTGGTCCATCTCATAGTAAGGGGTGTGCAGCCCCTGGCCACTTGGGATACCTCATGCTGTGCCCCCGCCTGGTAGTGGAGGTAGAATTGACAACTCCCTGTCCTAAGGCAAAGTCGCTTTGGGGATCCCAGCCACTTGCAGTACAGAAGCTGCTGTTCCTGGTTTGCTTTGTGTTCAGATACCCTGTGAACTGAGAAGTCCTGTGGCTCAGGCACAGTGGTGTCCTGGTAAATGTTTTAACAAGCAGCTCCCCACCCCCACCCCCCCAAAAAGAAAAAGAAAAGAAGGCCTTGATTTTCCAAATTCTGGGCCACAAATATTCCCCCCATGGCCAATTTCAAGCTGCCAACATAACTTCACTGGGTGCAGTAGCTATCATGCAGTTTTTACATCATCATTTACAATACTTAAGTAACTTTAGGATCGTAGATAACAGTAAAATATTTAGGAAGTGAACTTTTTCATTTGTTTTTAGTATAATTTATTTCACTGTAATTTTAAAATAATGGCCGTGTTAAACAGCCGGCTTACAAAACTCCGAGAACCTAACAGCGAGCATCAGGCTGTGATGTCATAGGCTATGGTGTGGCACTCACTGCCAGGCCCTGACCAGGCAGCCTGTGTGTGGCTTCTGTGACGCAGGACTTTAGGGCTCCTCAACTCAGGTTACAGCATGAGCCCCAGCCTGAGGTCTGCCCCCAGCAATTCCCACACTTGATGCCCTACCAACCTCCGGGCCAGAGATGCAAAATTTCTAAAAATTCTTAAGTTTCTGAAGAAAAACTCTTCTGGAGGCAAATGGGTATTTGGGGAAAAACAAATACGTGTAATGATTGTATACTTCCCTTGGGAGACTGAAGAGTTCTTTTGTTAATAAATTAGAAAACAACACACACCCTCCCTGATTCCTCCTCTGCGGTCTCTTCCTCAGAGCTTTATGAATAAAGACGGATCTTCCTAGTCTGGTTCCAGCTCAGCTAGCTGGGCAGGCTCTGCTCACGCTGGCTTCTGACACCTCCCACAAGTGTTCCTGCCACCCCTGTGGGAGGTGGTCCCTCCGTGGCCATTGCCAGCATGCCTCCTGAGCAGGCTCCGCATAGCTCCTGCGATCGAATAAGGCTGCTCAGCCCCCTACTCCTATTTCACTGCCAAGGTGACAGCAGCTGCCCCGCCCCAGCGGGCCCCCTTCCTTTTCGGCCTGGGACCTATTGGGGTGTAAGGCTCCCAACAGGATTTGGTTTTTCTCACTTCGTTTCCTAATTGCCAGATCCTGGCTAGTTCCTGGGATAGAGAAAGAGGATGCTCTGGCTCATTCTGCCCACTACCCTCAAGACTTTTTCAGGCTGAGGTTTCCATATCCCCTTTCTCCTGTGGTCCCTGATGCAGGGGAAATAGTCTTATCAGCAACCCAACTCCTCAGAAGGCTGGAGGCCAAGGCTGTGACAGCCCCTGCCAGGCACTTTCTGCCCTTCCCTGGACTGTTCTCAACATGATCACCTGCTCTTTGGTGAGTGTGTGTGTGTGTGGTGAATTCTCTTTTGATCGATGCATCTCCGTGGACCCTCACAAGCTGAAGATGGAGTGTGAGCACCAAAGGGAGGCTTGGGGTCTAGACAGTATCACCCTACTCTTTTATGACCAAATTCACTAGGGGAAGCTGTGCAGATAGGGTGAGAAGAGGGCTCACACATACATTCATGAGCCTTCCTGTTTGGAATCCAGGCAGCCCCTCTGGGAGTTAGGGTACTGTGTCACCTTGAGACGTGGAACTGGGCCTGGAACCTGCAATTGTCCTCACACTGGCCAATCCTCCCTGCCACTCGTTGTTTAGCCACATTGAGGCCTGGGGGTGACCCGGCCTGGCCACTTCCTGCTAAGACTTCCTGGGATACCCTCTCTCTCACAACGCAAGCCTCTGAGCAGGCCAGTGGGGCTCCTGAGAGCACTCCTCTCCACGTCCCTCTCATACCAGGCACCCCTACAGGCCCATTCTGGGGACACTGTCCATCCTAACCAACCTCAGCACAATGGACTAGAGAAGTGAAGTGTTGTCTTGGAAGCCCCCTGGCCTTGTTGCCGACAGGCCAGCCTCGGCTGCCCTCTCGCCTTAAACAAATGACCTGAAAGTCCAAAAGTTGATGCAAAGATTGGAAGGTTTATTCAGATCACCGGTACTCAACTAAGTGTCTAACCAAGCAAACAAACAAAGAGAAAAGAGAAGCAGTGGGGTCCAGTTTAGCCTGGTCCTCATCGGCGGGGCCAACCTATTCCAGTAACAGTAATTGATAAAAGCAGTTCTCCCCACTGTTCTCAGCATAAAGAAAAGTACTGACTAGTTTTAAATCAGAAAAACAAAGCACAGCTAGGAGCCCTCCAGGGTGCACCTACATAGTAGTGGATACAATCCAACCAAACAGAAGCGGGCTCAGAAAATCAGAGAAAACTAAAGAGAATAAAACACTGCCTTGTCAGAATTTAGCCCAGGGACTCCAGGAGAGATCTACCAGCGGCAGAGACATGGGAGCAAAATAGTCCCAGCAGCCAGTTGCCTCTTGCAGCTGGAGTCCTCTCCCGTGCCCAAAGCTTTCCATTTTTTTGCCAGTGATTAAATTAGGCTCTTGGATTCCAAGGTCATAGAAATGAACAATGTACCCAACAGTAAAGCAACAATGCTATATTAAAAGAGGAGGTAGACTTATGCATAAGAGGGTAGGGACAGTAAGGCCAGCCCTCCCGAGGGGAGCTGTTCAGTCTTTTATAGGGAAAGGAGTTAAGGGGTGGCAGGCCAACGTCACTGGAGGTGGTCCGTTCTGTCCTTCCCAGCTGCATCATGGCTGCATGCTCAGTAGGCAGTGGTGTTCATCATTGTCACCCCAGGAGGGTCATTGTAGCGGTCACCTTGATGCTTTGTGCACAGGTGGGAATTCCTAAAAGGGTCTTACGGTTAATCAGTAACTTTTACAATTATAGTAAACAAGTCTTGGAGAGGGGTTTTGCAACTCAGTAAACATCTGTTTCCTCTGTTATCTCAGTCTGTTTTGTCAGGGCAGCCCCTGGGGTAATCATTAGCCCTGATGACTGAGGAGTGGAAATGGAGTCAGTTTGGTTCACAGGCCTAGCCTTGCTCTCTTTCACCCTGAGCCAGCATTAGGGGTTCAGCCAGACCCAGTCCTCCACAGAGGCTGCTTTTAGTTCTAGGACAAAAAAGTGTGAACCTCACTTATCTTTCCACAACCACAGTATGGCAGCTTGTTTGCTTTTAAAAAGGAAAAGAAGGGCCGGCCCGTGGCTCACTCGGGAGAGTGCGGTGCTGATAACACCAAGGCCCCGGGTTCGGATCCTATATAGGGATGGCCGGTTCGCTCACTGGGTGAGCATGGTGCTGACAACACCAAGTCAAGGGTTAAGATCCCCTTACCGGTCATCTTTTTAAAAAAAAAAAAAAAGGAAAAGAAAATTCAACTATGCAAAGAGCCTTGTGGTCTGCACCAGATGCGAGGCCTCCTTCACTCATCCGGATTGGGGTACAGAGGAGGCTGCCTGGCCAAAGGGATGGGGCGGCGGGGGTGCCAAACCGAGGGTGGCGCGGAGACCTGAGAACCCGCTGAAGCCTCTCCGGATTGGCCGCCGGATCTGCCTAAACAGGACGCAGCCCAGCCACTTCCGTCGCCCGAATGACGCCATTTCCGCAGTAGAGCACGCGGCTCTCGTCCGCCCTGGGGCCCGACCCCCGCCGGTCCGGAAGCGACGCGACTCGGCCCGCGCAGGCGCAGAGGGCGCCCCCTCGGGCTCGTGCGCAGAGTAGTCTTGAGTCCTCCGCGAAGGACCCGGCGGGGCTGATGAGAGGCGCGGGGTCGCGGCGGAAGGGGTGGTGCCTCTGACCGGAAGCCTTCGCTTTCTGGGTCCGGCGGGGACGCCCGGGGCACCTGGAGCAGGAGCCGACGTGGGTCGGGGGCCGGAGGGGGGACGGACCGGAAGCGCCTTAGCGCGGCGGCGGAGAGGTGGGTTTGGGCTTCGGGGGTCGGTCCCGGGGAAGATCGGGGCGCTCTCGGCTCGCCGAGCGTCGGCACCGCCCCTCGTGGGGGTTGGGTGCCTCGGTCACTTGGCTGGGGAGTGGCGGCTGGCCTGGCCTGCCCGCGACAGCTGCGGCGCCGCCCAGCCACCCCCGCCTGACCTCGGCGCGCTCCTGTGTTCCAGGCTCCCGAGCCGGGGCGGCCGCCGCCCGCAGACATGTTCCTGGTGCGCCTGACTTCTCAGCTTGGCAGGGCTGCCCGCTGGGCAGGTAGGAGGCCCCGTGGGGGCGGATGGGCCGGATGCACACCCGCGTCGGGAATGCGGCTCTCAGCAGCCCAGCTCGCGCCCAGCTGCTGCGTGTCTGCAGCCGGAGGCGGGGGTCGGTCACACAAACTCTGCTGTGAACTTCCACGTTTCACCAAGGGGAAGTCTGGGCCTGAGAACATCAGGGATTCAGGCGAGGACTGAGACGGGCCTCATCCCCGTCTGGGATGAACGCGCTGCTCCCCAACCCCGACAGGCCTGGGTGGTGGCCGTGCTCAGGTCTGTTGTAGGCGCGGGAGTGGGACTGTGCCATCTTGTTTTCCGCAGGCTGCAGTCGGGCCTCGTCTGTCTCAGGGGTGCTGGGCAGCCACGCCTGCAGGCCCCAGTACAGCACGAAGCCAACAGGCCCAAGCAGGGCTGCCTCCCTCCCTGCCCAGAGGGCCCAGCTGGAGCTTGAGGAGATGCTGGTCCCCAGGAAGATGTCCATCAGCCCCCTGGAGAGCTGGCTTACTGCCCGCTACCTCCTGCCTGGACTGGATTCTGGGGCAGCAGGGACTGTGGTCCCGGGCCAGTTCTACGAGTGTCCACCTATCCAGGTGGTGGAGTGGGACAAGCAGCAGGGGGGTGAGGGGGTCTGGGAAGAACCTCAGATGCAGTGCAAAAACGTGCTGAAGATCCGCCGGCGGAAGATGAACCACCACAAGTACCGCAAGCTGGTCAAGAAGACGCGTTTCCTGCGACGGAAGGTCCGTGAAGCACGCTTGAAGCGGAAGCAGGTGAGTGCGGCCTCCTCAGCCCAGGTGGGAGTGCACGGCCTTGACATAGGTGAGTTGGTGATTCTCACTCTGCCCTCACAGCTCAAGTTTGAGAGAGACCTGAGGCGAATCTGGCTGAAGGCGGGACTGAAGGAAGCCCCCGAAGGCTGGCAGACCCCCAACATCTACCTGAGAGGAAAATGAGACTGATGTCCCTCTCTATCCCTCTTGTTCTTGGTGATCCATTGTAATAAACATTCAGATGATTCAGCTGCCCGGGCTGGCCTGGAACCTTTTCTGCCTGGTGTGAGCTTGGGATGGAGGGCAGTGCTGGCCTCTGGTGCTGTAGGAGCCAGGCAACGGGTTGACAGCCCCTTCTTCTACGCAGCCTTTGACAGTGCAGGGCCTGTGGGAATGACAGCCTCACTGTGAATGAATGTATGCTGTGCCCTGGCAGGGTTTGGCACTGTGGGAATAACTGAGCAGAGCTGAGCCCTCCCCTTGGTGTGTTTATATCTCTTAATGAACATGTAGCCGGCAAAATGCCGAAGGATGACATTGGGGTTAGAGAGTGCTCGGATTGCGGTGGGGTGTGATTAAGTTATGTTTTACCAGTAGGGGTCAGGAAGGGTTTCACTGGGGAAGTAGGAAAGACCCTTGTGCCTCTGTAGGGACGGTGCATGGCACCCTGCAGGGTCTGAGGAACTGGGTCTCCAGCAGCTCTCTGAGCCATTGTGTGCCTTCCTGCTTGGCTGGGATAATCACACCCAGCTGTAGGGGCTGGGAAGATGGCATGGCCGCCAGCCTTCCAAAGTTCCTCAGGCAGGCTGGGATCCCCGGCCTCTGCCCCTTCCCTGGGTCCTGAATGGGGGTGGGGGCTAATCAGGAAGGGATGGCCCAGAGGGTGTGCTTTGAAGGTCCAGGGTTGGGGCTGGCTAGGGAAAGGGTGTTGCTCATGAAGCTGGAGAAGCCCTGGAGCATTAACTCCAGCTGGAGACCCCAGTGATTTCAGTTCCTCCCTAGGTCAAGAAGAACACATTTCTCCTAACAGCGGGGGTCCCAAGGGGCCCCTGGGCTGCAGGCAGGGGAGCCTGGTCAGAGCAGCCCATTGGCGGTGCAGGCCCATTCTCACCCGCCCTGCTCCTGACCCTCAGTAACAGGAGAGGCAACCAGGCACAGGCAGCTTTCTCAGGCGGTCGGGGGGAGGCCCTCGTACCTAAGCTGCCTCCAAGCCCCATGTGTTAGAGCCGTGACACCTCTCACCAGGGCTGGGGAGGATTTTTGTTTTTTGTCACAGAAATGCACCTGGGGCCTGGGTTTGAGTCCCCTGCAAATTAGGAGGTCGGGGGGGGGGGCAGTTGAGGGGGGGTGTAGTGCTTGAGCATGGTTTTCTAGCAGTTTCTAGAATAGAACAGACATGTCCATAACCCACATTGCTCCACGTGTCGACAGCAAAGTAAACAGGCTTCTGAACAGCTGGGCCCAGTCTAGGTCCCAGCCTCTCAGGGGTGACAGGCTCACAGAGGGGTTCCATGGAGTGGGCTGTGAGGCTGGGGGCTGGCCGGGCCTGCAGGGGAGCTGAGGACTTTGCTGGTCAGGTGTGCTTTCGCTGGCGGCCACAAGGGGGCAGCAGCCGGACTCCTGGCAGCCCCAGGGGTCCAGGGCTGGGGACCAGAACAGCTGGCAGGAAGCACAGGGAGGCTCAGCTGTGAGCAGGGCAGGGGTCCCCGGGCCAGGGCCTCAGCCTGGGGTGGGGCCACCCCTGGGGTGAAGCAGGGCGTGCCCTCCCCATGCCACTTCTGGTTGTGCCCCAAGCCTCTCAGCACCTCCCATTCCCCACCCCCAGCCGCTGGCACCCACAACTGCTGAGCAGCTGCTCCCGGTATTTCCTCCCAGCCTTGCCGCAGGAGCTGCCCCGTGGCTCACCCCACCCCTCCCTGGTGGGGGGAGGAGAGGTGGGAGGCTGGGTTGTGCTGTCTGGAGACTGAGCTTCTTTTTTTTTTTTCCTTTTTGTCTTTTTTCGTGACCGGTAATGGGATCGCAACCTTCGGTGTCACGCCCGCACCGCGCTCAACCAGTGAGCGGACCAGTCTCTATATGGGATCCGAAATAACTTCGTATAGCATACATTATACGAAGTTATACGAGGAGGGAGGGAAACTGGGTTGTGTTTATTTCTTTTCTGTTTTGTTTTTGTTGGTTCATCCTTGTTTTTTAGCTTCGGATCATTTTTGTACCAAGGCAAGCAAGCCTTTTTGAAAAATAACGAAGAGGAAAAAAATCCCTCCCGGAAAAAAAAGAAACCGCAGTCTACTGAGTGCGCCACCGGGCCGGCCCTGGAGACTGAGCTTCTGCAGCTTGGCCTGGCATCCTGCATGGAGAACAGCAGACCCAGGCGGCCCAGGCCTGGCCCAGGGCACTTCCCCTGGCCTCCTCCACCCCACATGCAAGTCAGCTGGGGTGGGCTCCCAGGAGGCCTCGGGGTTTCTCCACAGCAGTGGTTTCTTATCAGGCCGTTGGCCGCATCAGGGGACATGTTTGGTAGTCACAATGGAGGCTGGGGGCTGGGGATGCTGCTGAGTACCGTACAATACGTAGGAAGCCGCACCACAGAGTATCACCAACCCCAGATGTCAGTGATGCCACAGTGGAGACGCCTGTTCACCCATCCTGTTGGGTCAATGCCTGAGCCAGCCCCGCCCCCGCCCAGTCTCCTCTACCCCATCCCTCTCTTGCATGGCCTGGACCCTGGCAGACCCTCTCCTGGCCCCCATCTTGGCTGCAGAGCTCACCCTGCCTGTGGCTTGGAAGCCTTACTGCCCCAACCACAACTTTGGGAGGCAACTTTGGGGATTTATTTTTATCTCTGCAGTTCCTCCCAGGCCACAGGGACTGCCCCTCCCCTCTTCCCTGTGGGGCCTCCCCTGCCCCTGGCCTCATGGGATGTACAGCCCCTTCTCCCTGTGGTCTTCCCCCATCCTGGCCTTGGGTGTCCACTGAGCAGGAGGACAGAGGCATGGTGTGCTGGGGTGGGCAGGGGGCCAGCCCAGCTGCCTGTGAAGTGTGGTGTGGCCCGTGACTGCCCCTCACCCAGCCTCTCCTAGCAGTGATCAGGGCTTGGGTTCCAGCCAGGGGTGGCAGGGCCAGAGCAGGTGGAAGGGGGTCAGACACGTGCTGGGGACCCTGCCTCTTGGGCCCTGTGGCGGGTCAGTGGCATCTCAGTGGTGGGCATGTTGGTGAGCTTAGTCCCACCCTCCGCAGCTGGTAGCTTGGCTGCTGCAAGCCTGGCAGGGCCGGCGTGTCTGAGTGTCCCAATGAGGCTGGGTCCAGTCCTGACCGGCCTGTGGTGCAGCAGCGTCAGAGGTGAGGCACACCACGCTGCCAGTCCTGGTGCTCCAGGGCCCTCCCTGCCTGTCTCAAGAGCACACGTGTGAACTTCCAACGAGCCACCCTGTCTGTGCCTGAGGAGCATTCAGGTTGGTGAGGACGACATAGAGATCCTCGTTGTGGAGCGGAGCCTGGGAGAAAGGTGCTGCCCCAGGAAGGAAGGATGCTGGAACCTGGGTGGATGGAGGCGAAAGAACTTCTTGTCTCCAGGGCTGGAGTTACCTGTCTGTCAGTTTCAGAAAAAGCCCCTTACACCCCTTGTTTCCCCTCCTTCCATGGGCAGAACTGAGCAGCCCCAGCATGGGCTGAGGGTGGGCTGGCAAGCTGAGGGTGGGGGCCACAGGTACTCCATGACAACCCCACAGCCACAGCGGCCCAGGCCTGGCTGGGCCCCCATCAGATTCTGTTCAGTGCTGAGCTCTAGCCTGGAAGGGCACCACTGGACCATTTGCAGCTGGGGACCCGGTCCTGTGGTGTTGGGTCACTCACCTGGGGCCACAGAGTTGCAGGGCTGGGACTAGAGCCCAGGGCCCCTGACACATTGCTGCTCTGGGGAGGGGTCCTCCCCAGGGTAGCCACGTGACAGTCGTGGACTGTCACTGACCCTGTGTACTGCACATGGAATTCACACCAGAGTGCTGTATAAGACATTTCCTTATACAACGTTTTCCTGTTTTCTTTTGTGGGGTTTTCTACCTCTGTATCCCTAATTCAACCCCGCCTTTGCTAAGAGTGTGAAAGCCCCATTTCAGTCCAGCTGCTCAGGTAATTCTGTGTTCTCATTAAAGTCACCTTCCATCCGTGCCCCCTTCTGTGCCCTCTGGGCTGCCCAGGAGCTCCCTGGGCCTCCCCATGCTTCTGGAATGCTGTCTCTCTCTTGGTTTACTCCCTTCTTTTGGTGGAGTACACTTGATGGTAGCCTGGCGAGGTGGGCGTGGGGGGCAGATCACAGGGTGAGATTTGTGGGGTTTTTATGTCTTTTTTTGTTTTTTTTTTTTTAAAGATGACCTTTAAGGGGATCTTAACCCTTGACTTGGTGTTGTCAGCACCACGCTCAGCCAGTGAGCCAACCGGCCATCCCTATGTGGGATCCGAACCCAGGGCCCTGGTGTTATCAGCACCACACTCTCCCGAGTGAGCCACGGGCCGGCCCTGAGATTTGTGTTTTTAAGGGAGCCGAGCTGACCCCCATGCACTGGGCGGGCTCCCTCTGCCGCGGCACCGTGCCAGGGCCCTCCCGGGAGGCGCCGCTTCACCGCACGTCTGCCAGCAGCCAGTTCAAGGCAAGCACCCTCCAGTGCAGAGACTAGCTTGCCAGCCACGTTCAGCCCTGCGTCTGTGTGACTCCAAAACCTAATTCTTAAAATATGGTTAGAAAAAATGTGCCTATAGTGCCATGAGGCTCAAGAAACGCTCTCGTCCCTGTTCCCCGCGCTACCCTTCCCAGAGGCAACTGCTGCCCTGTCAGTGATGTTTTTCTGGGGCTGGTCGGTGATAATACCAAGTTCAAGGGTTCAGATACCCCTACTGGCCAGCCGCCAAGAAAAATATCAATGGGTCTTTTGGTATTTACCGCCATATTTTTTAACTGGTGGCTTTCAGACTTTTTTTTTTACCAAGACTCAAAATAAGAAACGTTTTTACACAGCTGCCTGATGCACACACACGCCTGACAATGTCACAAAACACCACCCTTCCTAAGTGCAGAGAGCTCAGACATCTGCTCTAGTCTATGTCGTTTGAAAGTGCTGCTCAGGGTGCCCTAACCTCGGCCACACTCCCTCGCGGGCACAGTGCGGGGCGGTGTGGACTCGGTTGTAAACCCGGTGCTCGTGCTGCGGTGCCTTGTTCTCGTTTCAGGGCCCGCCTGTCAGTTGTCTGCTCTCCTC